CAGCTAGGTGGCGCAGTGGATAGAGCACCAGCCCTGGATTTAGGGGGACCTGAGTTCAAATGCAGCCTCAGACACATAACACTAGCTGTGTGACCCTGGGCAAGTCACTTAACCCCATTGCCCCCTCCCAAAAAAAATCTGGAACTTGATGCTTAGGAACAAATGATTTACCATAAGCATATAAACATTCTACCAGAAGTGAACACATTTTCTCAGGCGGATTATGTTGCTTCTAGGAGGAGACTGTTGTTCAATCATGTCTAACTTTTCATGACCCCATGGACTGTATCACACCAATGCTATCCACGGGGTTTTCTTGGCAAAAATACTGGAGTAGTTTGCCATTTCTTTCTCCAGTGCATTAAGGAAGAGACCATTGATCTCAAATAAGTGACTACTTACTTCCAGTCCCTCTTTTCATTCAGCCTCTAGGCTGATTTCACTTTTGCATTTGCCTTGGCAATTACTAAAAGGGAGGAGTTTCAGGAATTTCTCCCGGGAGAAAGAATACAGAATGGCTACTGGTAGTGGATGAGAAACACCAAGCTCTCTTTTGTACAGTTGAAGGAGGGGAAGAGGGATGGGGTTCACTGAGTCATTCAGTCAGGCAGCCAGTTATTGAAACGGGAAATGGAGAAAAAGGGCAAATTTCCTTATGCCTCTGTCTTAATTATAGCTCTTCCTTCCCCCCACTACCACCCCCAACCTATCTTCTAAAGGTGGAGCTCTGAGGAGGCTTAGTTTTGTTTTGTTTTGTTTTTTAATGACCTAGAATCAAATTTAATTTCCCTTTTGGGCAAGCTACCTAGATGCCTAGGCTATGAGACATGGTAGTATTTACCAGTTATTTCAGACTTTACTTTTTAGGACTGCTATTGATTATATTTGCTCTTATAACTCTCAAAAATGCACTGCAGGCATTTAAAAATCCAAAACAATCCCTCCACCATCATTTGTGAATGTGATGGGACTAGGCCCATGAGTTCATTGGTATAGAGAATTCCTAATAGGAGAACTCCCTTTATTGATGTATATTGGCATCTTCTCTGTAAATGATAGTCTGTTGTTTTTGCATGTAAATTTTGAGTAATGAATCTAGGAGGAGGTTAGCACTTCAACTTTAACAAAAACTTTATTAGGGAACAATATTTTTTTGACCTGAGATTCTCCATATATAGGGACTGATACATTATTTTTTTGAGTTTAAGTCCCTATTCTGCCATTAAGCAGTCTGACCTTTTGCAGTAGGTCACATCACCTTTTTTAGATGTTCAAAATCAGGAGGTTCAACTTAGAAAACCTCCAGAGCCTTGGCACATCTTGCAATTTGTGTGGATGACATTTTTATCATTCGCCATTTTTAAGGAATGCTTGGATAAGAAATGACGTGGAAGTAGAGTTTTGGTCAGCTTCTTTGGCAGAGATTTGCATGTAGTAGGTACTTAAATATTTGGTGAATTGAATGAAATAAATTGTAATCATTATGTTGTGTTCATGATTAGTGGAAGATTTAAGGATGAAATTAGATTCAAGTGCTTAAAGCTCTATATATAGGCTCATATACATTTTCTACCCTGCCCTGATGATGATGATAATGGCTTTAAGGTTTTCAAAATTCTTATTTGATCCTCACAACCCTATGAAGCAAGTGCTGTTACTGTCCTCATTAACAGATGAGGGAGTCAAAGCTGTAAGGGACTTAAACCCAGTTATTCCTGACTATACATATAGCACCATGTACCTCTGTTCCCCTCAGTCTTTAAGAACCTTTATCTTTTACATTAATAGATTAGATGGCATTTGATTGATATAACCATTGATAAAAACTTAGCATGCCCCTTTAAAAGAAACAGATCGATCTTATTCCTGTAGAACAGGTGATAAAGGACATCGTATCCCTCCTTTGGGGAAAGAAGTGGGAAACAATGGTTATGGAATGTTTATATTGTTAAATGTTGTCACTCTATCTGTCAGTTTTGCTTAACTGTTTTTCATTACTGCAAGGGAGAATTCACTGGGATTTGGCATATGGGAAAACAGGTCTAAAAATAAAATGCATCATTAAAATTTGGGGAAAAAAATATATGATTTAGACAATCTCCAACTGTACTTTCCTGTACCCAATTGACTAGGAACAAACATTAACCACAGAATTGAATTTCTCCATGTATGTGATGTTGGAATTATCCTTAACTTTTCCCTCTCCTTTGCCTTTCATTTTCAATCAGTTTCAAAGTCTTGTCAATTCTACCCCCATAATATAGCTAGCCTCTGTGTTCCACTTGCTACTCACATGGTCACCATGCTAGTTCAGGCTCTCATCACCTCTTACTTTGGGTAATAGCCTCCTAATTGTTATGCCAGCCTTCAGTGTCCCTCTCTCCATTCCACCCTTCACACACAGCTACAAAGGTGATATTCCTAAAGCACACTCTTGCTCAAGAAGTTTCAGTGATTCTTCTTTTTGTTTGTTTTTTTGTTTTTTTGTTTTGGGCAATTGGGGTTAAGTGACTTGCCCAGGGTCACACAGCTAGTAAGTGTCAAGTGTTTGGTCTGAGGTCGGATTTGAACTCAGGTCCTCTTGACTTCAGGGCCGGTGCTCTATCCACTGTGCCACCTAGCTGCCCCCTATAGATATTTTTTCTTTTTTTTTTTTTTCTTTTTAGTGAGGCAATTGGGGTTAAGTGATTTGCCCAGGGTCACACAGTTAGTAAGTGTCATGTGTCTGAGACTGGATTTGAACTCAGGTCCTTCTGACTCCAAGGCCAGAGCTCTATCCACTGCGCCACCTAGCTGCCCCTCCCAGTGATTCTTGCTTTTGTAAAAATACAAACTCCTCTGATTGGCTTTCAGAGACCTTCACAATTTGGTTCCAGTCTACCTTTGCAGTATTTTTGCACCCTACTCTTTGCTATCTAACAAAACTGGTTTGTTTGCTGTTCCTTGTATACAACACTTCCATCCATTCAAATTCCCATAGTCTTGCCTTTCCATAGGCTTTCACCCATGCATTGAATGTACTCTTTCTTCAACTCTGCCTAAAAAAATTCTTATTTCTTCAAAGATCAGCTCAAGTGTTACCTCCTACAGGTCTGATCCCACCCCAGTTGCTAATGTCTTCCCCCTAGAAATTACCTTGCATATATTTTGTGCTTAGTGTTCTATGCACATGTTTCCTCTAATAGAATTTAGTTCTTTTAGGGCAGAAACCATTTAATCTTTATATTTATGTAATCTTTATTTTTAATCTTTATGTCTCTAGCACCAAACACAGTGCTCAGCATATAATAACCTCTTAATAAATGCTTGTCAGTTGTAGATCTTACCTTTTCCTTCCAGCCTTGGCTTTGTAGTACAATATACACTTGGTGGCTTTGAACAATCTTTAAATTAACTATATTAATACCCTGTAAAATAAATGGGCAAAATTCAGTATAGTGGATTGAAAATCCTAACTCAACTTAGTTTAAGTATACTTACCTGTAACCAGTGCAGTAAAGGTTTCTATCCAAATTGTGGAATGCTTATTACCAATTATGACTACAAAGAATTGCTTAAATTTACATGAAATATCAGACAAATAGGAAAAGGTCATCAATTCAGCTCCTTTTAAAATCTTCTACCGTAAATATATGTGAATATGCAATATGAATATATATACTGTGTATATATTAATCTACAATGCACTTGATTATGAACTTTAAAAGGTCATGTAGTTTTCCTCTTTTTAGGTGTCTAGGCCTACTGATATAGTGCATTAGGAAGCATGATTTCATTGCTAAAAGCATGGAATTAGAAATCAAGATTTAAGGATACTTTTTTATTCCTCTGCTTAGTTCTATCTTTAAAAGGCCACATGGATAGATAACATTAGCCCACATCACAACAAAGTTGCAATACAGTACGTAGTGGAAAAAGTTGTGGAAGCTACCATCAAAAAGGCTAGGATCAAGGCCCAGCTCTGCCACTTATTAGCTCTTTTACCTTTGGCAAGCCACTAATTGTTTCTGGGCCTCAGTTTCCTGATCTGCAAAGTAGAGGTAGTATAACTACCTCTACTGGCTCAAAGTATTGCTATAAAGAGCGTACTTTACAAATGTGAGGAAGTCATGCTATGAACACCCTTCTCATAGTTCTAGGGTGGTTTCTCTAGCCAGGCTTTCCATGGGTTTATTTTTCATCTTTTAGTACTTTTACTTCAAGAACTCAAATCCTTCTCTTGTGGCATGAGGGTAAACCTAGGTTCATGAAGGCCTAATAGCTATACCAGAACACAAACTTTGGAAGGTCCTATAAAAACTTCTCATTCTTGGGTACTTTTCCTCCAAGAACCCCTCACTCAAGTCTTCCTCCTGTGACATAAAGGTAAGCCTGATGTCATCAAGGCTTAAAACCTATGTCAGAAGAACACAAACTCTGGAAATATCTACCTTTCTCCCCTCTACCTAGGAGAGGAGCTGTTTGTAGAGTTTAACTCTGGTTTGTCCCTATAAGTAGAAGACAAGGGTTATTATGTACTTACCATGTTTTGTTTTCTATTATAGTTATTTATATGTGTGTATTTTTTATTCCTTTACTGAGATATTCACTCAGTAATGTCAGGATCAAGGTCCTTGTCATCTTCTTAGTGCCTTATCACAATATTTTTTGTAGATAGTAGGCAACCAATAATTGCTTGTTGAACTGAATTGAAATGAATTTTAAGTCAAGTAAAATCAGGAAGTCCTTGATGTTACTTACATCATTTTATATTTGCCTGGCTTATTATTTTTATATCTTTCTGATTTGCCTACACAAAGAGTTTTAATGCATTTTAAAAATAATTATTTTTATAATCTCTCTTTTTTTTAACATATTTTTGTTGAGATTGGAGAAAACAAGTTTAGAAAAAACTTATCTTTTGGTGATATTTCCCCCTTTCTTCACCCATTTTTCATTGCATGGATAAAAATAATTTTTATCAAACTCTCTGCTTCTCCTTTTGCCACTGTTTATTACAGAGGAAGTATCTGCAAGGATAGTCCAAGTAGTAACTGCGGAAGCTGTTGCAGTCCTGAAAGGTGAACAAGAAAAAGAAGCCCAGCATAAAGACCAACCTGCAGGACTCCCTATAGGTAAATCCAGGAGCTTGCCAGGGTTATCTCTACTTCCTGTTTCTATTTGGTCCTCAACCTGTATCGATTCTGCTTCATAGGAGTGGCTAAGGTTGCTGTGGCATTCTAGGCCTTAGGCCATCTTTTATGAGCAGGAAGTTCTAAGTATCCTGAGTGCCCTTTGGGGTAGACAGATTTTGAATTTCTACCCTAATTAGTTCCCTCAGCTCTTTCATCCACTTTGAACTAGTCAATTAGAGAAAACTCTAGTTCAGCCAGGAAAGAGCCATGTTTATAACTGCATAGCTTTAAGCATAAAGAAAGAATCCTCCGTCCCCTTTTTTCTTAACTTCCAACTAGTTATCAAGTGTTGGTTTCATAGCTTCCATAATATCTCTCCTCCATCTTTTCCTCTCTATTTCAACTGCTGTGATCCGGAATAGGCCCGTATTACTCATATCCTGGACTATTTCAATAGCATCCAAACAGGGCTTAGTATTTTAGGGCTAAGAGGTGGAAGGACCTTCCAGGCCATCTGCTCTATTTCACCCCTTACCTTATAAATGGGGCAACTAAGGTCCAGAGGTTCATTCTCCTCTACTCTAATCTCTGCTTCAGAGAGCTACCAAGCTCCTCTTACAGATGCAGAGATCTAATCTTATCCCTCCTTTACTCAAACAAGTAACAAACTCTTCAGTGGCTTCCTATTGTCTATGAAGTAAAATTCAAATATCTTTGTCATTCAAGGCTCTCTACCCACTGGTAATACCCTGCCATTTCAGCCTTCCTGCTCTGCTATATGCAAGTCAAACTAGATTATTCTTTGTTTCTGAACATATCCTTTTACCTTTTCCTTGAGTATCTTCCCAACCTATAAGGTCCACTTTCAGAAGCACTTATGCAGCCTAGAAAAGGCCACAGCCTCAGACTTCATATAACACTTTGTCTTATACTTTATGTATATTATTTTGTATTATGGTATTCTATGTATGTACCTTATGGCCACACTAGACCATAAGCTGAATGAAGGTAGGAAAATCATTTTATCTAATTTTCAGTCTCCTCTTCCAATTGACATTTTTCTTCACACAGTAGATCTTTAAAAAATTTTTGTTGAATTGAATTAAAGATATCATCAACTTGGCTTGTCATTTCCCTTTGCCTAGGAGACTTATTGAAAATATAATTCTAATAATGATGACAACATTTCATATTTGTATAGTGTTTTCCAAAGTGTTCTCCCTGTAGCAGCATTGTAAGGTAAGGTAGAATATTATTGTTTCCATTTTACAGATGATAAAACCATGGATTAGAAAGATAAAACAATTTGTTTAGGATCACACACCTAGGAAGAAGTGAGACCAGATCACAAATTTCAGAATCACAGAATCGGAGGGTTGGAAAGGACCTCATTAGCCATGTGGCCTAACTCATTGATGGATGAAATCTTTAATAGCTAAAACATCTAATTTTGGTGCCTGATTCTAGCCCTAATTCCCTGTTTGTTCTTCTTTACACTCCACCAATTGTACCCCTGGCTACATTCTCTTAGAAGAATATACACTAAAATCATGTCCAAAACTATTTTGGAGCAAGCAGCAACTCTCCTTCCTCTCTCTATGTGGAGGCTAATTTTCTATCTCATACTTAAGAGCAACTTTAAATTGCATACTTGTTTTAATTTTATAGCAGTGAACCATTTTCATTTGTACTATCAAAATCTTTGTTTCTCTTCATTAAAGAAAAAAACACTTCTTAATCTGATTACGTATTTCTTGGATCAAAGGTACTTTAGGGAATTGCAAAGGTGGGAGGTTGAGAAAGAAAGAAAGAAAGAAAGAAAGAAAGAAAGAAAGAAAGAAAGA